ACACTCACTCGGATAGCTTCCTCACTTTTGTACATTGTACCAAATGCACATTCATTCATGCCAAACAATCAACAGCGCTATTACTATTCATCTTTTGTCAAATGCTTTGGCCACATTTGAATTAATTTATTATTATTATACCAATGACTGTCACTTTATTTGTCCCAGTCACTAGAACGTCTTTGCACAGTTAGATATGAAGAACTATCAAAGTCCAATGAGATAATCTACGCTAATACTCGCAGATCACTTACGAATGTGAGAGAAATTGCGGACACATCTCGAGTTGGCACGCTCACAGCCCACGGGTGCTTCTTGAGCTGGCGGATACTGAAAACTGGGAATTGCGCAAAGCTGGATGGGAAAGAGAAAATTCAGTAAGGAAATCTCGTAAAGTGAATCGGCACATAGCAAGGGATAACTGTTGTGATGCGGCTTTGTGCAGGTCCACAAAAGAGGCACAGATTCTAGCAGCTGATCCTGCTCCAGTGATTCCTGGGGTCCTGTCAAATCATCTGTGATATGAGCGCCGCCATCTTGTGCAAGGGGAGGAACCCTCTTGGTTTCTGACCCTCGCAGATTCACACTGGATAGTTAAAAATGTACATTTGCTATTAAAAAATTGCAAACGGGAAAATTGACTAAGACACATCAAATCAAATCAAAAATCAAATCAAAGTTTATTTATCAAATGCACAACAGTATGGCGTGCAGCAGTAGTTGCTGGCAATGAAATGTCTTTTTCTGAAAGCTCACAAAAATTACGAGAATCACAAAAATCACAAAAACACAAAAATCACAATATTGAGGTTACATTTTTTAAATTGAATACAACTCAATGTGAGTAGAGCTGTTATGTGTCCATGGTGTATGCAATATATACAAGTAGTGCAGTTATGCTGAATATAGTGAGAATTGTGTGTCCATGTAGCCATTACAGGTGATTTGCTAAGGAGCATATGATGTCCGAGGGTTCAGATTTAATACGTACGAAGAGGAGATATTAAAAGTCATCAAAATCCTCATGAATCTTCTTTCCCGAAAACCTCAGTCAATGGTCATCCTGAGCTAAGTTAGGTCGAATTGTTTAACACCCTTTTTGAGTGTATATGTGATAGAAGCACCTCTGTGTTCTGTCCAAAATTCATTTCTGTATACATTTACTGTATTTCTATTCAGAATTTAAAAGACTTTAATTGATCGTGAGTGAAATAACTCATGACAGATGGATGAGTGATGGTGTTATTAATAGATGGTCTGGTTGTTTTGCTCACCCAGGATGATTGAGGATAAGCTGGGTATCTCTTTTCCCTTAGTCCAGGGAGAGGGATGGAAGAGTCCTCACAAACTGCTGTCACCCTGCCTCTCTCAGATTCCTTTAAGTGTGTTGCTCTCTCTTGCTCCAGACGAAAATCAAAGACGATAAGATAATTAAAAAATATATCTGCACTTTTTGTAATGGGATTAAAGATGTTTCTTTAACAAAGGAATTAATTCTTCAGGCACTTGGATTTTGCAGGATTTTGGTTAGCTGTTTGGAGGGAATTACATTTTATTTTATTTAGCGCTTTAAAATGTAATTGCCAAGATATTTTTGGTGTAAACATGGAAAGTTGATAGTTCAGAAACTTGTTGCTGGCACAAGTCCTGATACACACAGGAAATGACTCACTACAGGAGGACACTGGAAAGATGACTGTCCTCAGGCTTATGAGCTTCTAGGTTTTAAATAGACATCCTATACAGTGCAAAAGAAAGCTGGTATTACTGGTCCTGCAAACTTTACCATCTGGCTTAGTACATTAATTCCTATTGATTTCTCTTCCAGGAATCAGCGCTTTCCGATCACTTATTTGAATGCACAAGAGAAGCTGCAGTCCATTCACTGCAGTCTGCAGAGTTTCTGCTTCAGACACAGAAATTGAAAGAGAGATTATTCTGAAAGCCATGGTTGATCTGAGCAAATCATCTCTGAGTTCGTCTCGTCTATTATTGATGAGATACAAGATTAGCTGAGGCTGTGACACAAATGTCTGAAAGCTCCCGTGCGATGTGGTGTTTCAAGCATCAAGGACAAGACAAATCAAAGAGCTTCAGGATCATGCAGTGCAGAGATCTCCTGTTGATTCATTAATTCTGAAAACCTTTTTTAATAGTGTTCATATTGTCTGTCTTTTTTAACTTAAATGAAACTTTATTTAGTGAAATAAGTGTTGGGGATTACTGCTAGTAATTAAGTAAAAGAAGGTTAAAAACATGAAATGGAAGTTGGAAAACCATATATAAATATGGCATTAGTAGCAGGCTGTACATTAGGAAAATAAGCATCTCATCACCTGTCGTCTGAGCAAATCTCAATTACTTGGCCTGTGAATTGTATTTTTTACCATGTTCTTTTTCTGGGATCTGAAGTTTGAAAATGCAAGCAGTTTTAAATCTCAGCCAAAAAGAAGCAAGGTTAATAAAAACTCATTTGAAAGCAGACTTTCTAAAGAAGGGAGTTGAAGAACTTGAGACCTGAGTACTGGACAACAGTAACCAAAATGTTACTGTATAAATCTCACTTCTAAACTTATCTTGATGTACTGGGTAACTAAATCTGTATTCAGTAGATATGCCCATTCATTTCAAAGGTTGTCTTTTGTAAGAGGTTAAAAATTGCTCTGTACAAATACAAAATATGCCAAAAGTTCCCCAAATGGCTTAATATGAGTTTCTATGCTTGTCGTGCTGAGGCCATGAGGTGCTCTGCACTTTGGGATCAATAGGTTCTGTATTAAAGACTTGGCTCTTTTATTTCATTGTAGGCAAGATGTGTTGGCTTGCAGCCCATTTAATTATCTTAGTAAGGAGAGAGCAGCTTTGCCCACTGTGGAAAACTGAACCCTATGCCTGCCAGGCCCTGACCTCTAACTGAAAATGCCTCCCAAGGCAGGCATTGTCACCTCGTTGTGTCACTTTTCTCACAGTTTTGCTTGTCAGAGGACACCAGATTCCTCTTGCCGTTGGTCTTCAGAGGAAAACGGGGGACCACATGAACGCCTCATGTTAGGACCCCCATCTGTGAAATTTGTTTCCTTCACGTGGCTTGAGTCATCTTTCCTGGATGAGCTGCGCTGAGCCGGCCTCTGACTGTGGTGGTTCCCTGCAGAAGCTGATGGAATGAAGCAACTGCCAGCTATCAGAAAATGTATTTGCCGTCCACTTAGAGGAATAGCATTGTAAAAGGCGTGTGTCCGTTACCACACCATGCTTCTCATCAGTGTCAGCTGTTTCAGTTGTGTTTTTTTTTGGTCTTCTATCCAGCCAACCCAGTAGACTGCAGTCCCCCTGCTATTTCACTCAATGCAGCATCGAAGCAGTCAGGCGGCCAGGCAGAGGCCAGAGATATAGGGGCTCTTAGACTCATGTGTAACATCAACGCCATTCTCACACCTCACAGCTGGGCCGTTCCAACAGACCGACAGCCACTCCCTGCTTATTTTCCTGTTTTGTTTGGGTTTTTTTTGAGGTCCTTGCAGTGTATCTCTCTTCTTAAAGACATCAAGCTTTGTTTGCACATTCGGCGAAAAGGGCACTTGGCCGACAAAGTGCTCCTCGTTTCCGCGCCGTGGTTCAGACGCTGCTGAGGTGGCAGAAAAGGCATATCGTCCCCGACGTTTGGATAGCCAAATGATGAAAGAGAAAGAAAGAATGAAAATCCCTCTGGTCCCGGCTGATTTGTTTTCTTAATGAAGAGCGTTAGACTGAGAGGAATTGTTCCTCTGTTCTTAGAAAGGTGTGGAGGCTGCAGCTCAGATAACACTGACTTCTGGAAGTCCCAGCCTGCAATGTCGGAATGTTTTTTATAGGTTTATCTGTAGCTTGCAATCAGAAGCTAAACACAAAATACTTTTTTCTCCCATTAGTACAATTTGCACAAGATTTTTATTCTTGATGTCTTACAGAAATATCGGGGGATTCCCAAGTTCACTTAGGATCAAGTTAAAAAAAGAGCTTGTAGGCATTATTCTAGACTTCTGTTGTTTAGTATTAATAACTCTCTTCTTGTTCTCTGGACATAAAGAGATTATTCTCTGTAAAATCACATTCAAGCTCTCTCGTCTGCTGACGTTGGTCTCCGACAGCCTTGTTTGCCTTGTTTCTTCTCTGATTTCTTTCCTAAAATAAAAAGCCTTTCAGGCTGTGCACACCGGTGAGGCTTTTTAGTTTTTCCAGTCATGTCCTAATGATTTTATGAGGGTACGTGTTATTTTGACTGTGTTGCTTTTTGACTCTCCTAAGGTGACCAATTTTCTGATATCTAATTTGTCGTGTTTACAGCATCTGCACTGGCAGTCCTGTTTCTCAGGGTAAGGTGTTGGGTTGTTTCATAACTTGGCACCCCAGTATCCCTTGTCTTGCAGGGACCAAGTGAGGCCAATGATAGTTGTTTCTGGTCTAATGCTCAATAACAGCACAAATCTTGCTTCTTATGGTAGAAGCATGCGAGACTCATGTTAGCCTCTGACAATGGGCAACAGTGATGTTTTCTCAATGTTCTGTGCTCATAGGTAGGTCGTGCAACAAACTGTATGTGGTTATTGTTATATGAACATACTGTATTGTTCTGTGCAATGATTCAGACACTGCTTAGGTGGCCAAATTGGAATATCAGCTCTGGCATTTGGACAGCCAAGTGATAAAATACAAAGAAATATTTAATTTCTTTCCTTACGTAGCAAATAAGATGAGGCAATTCTATTGGGCTCTTTGGCTGGACTTGTACCCTTTTTAAGAAGTCTAGCAGTCCTTCCAGCAAACAGCGGAGCATCAGAGTCCATGTCTGATCTGCTCTCTGTAGAGCAGACTGGCATGTTGGCCATGGCGTGTCTCACTGATGAAGCAAAGCTGTGTTGCTGCAGCGCATCTCCAGGGGAGCTTCGTGCAAGGGAAGGGTGGAAGTGCGAATGGCCCTGCCCTGTTAGCCACTGTCTTTTCTTGACCTGCCTGTCCATCAGATTTCCTGAAGAGGCCGCTGGAGCAGTATGTGCGGAAGCTGGAGGTGCCAGTGCGCGTGGTGCGGATGGACCAGCGGTCAGGCCTCATCAGAGCCCGGCTCAAGGGGGCCTCCATCTCCACTGGGCAGGTCATCACCTTCCTGGACGCCCACTGTGAGTGCACTGTGGGCTGGCTGGAGCCCCTGCTCGCCCGCATCAAACTGGACAGGTAGAGTACAGCTCTGTTTCTGGATATAAAAAAAAGCCCAACATTGTGTGAGGGTTTAATTTGGTTTCTATGTTGCAAAGTTTTGAAGACAAGGTAGGTTCATCGAGATGGGTGACCAGTATTGGGTTCATTACATTGTCAGATCTGCATGTCCAATGTCTTTGTTAGATCTTATTGTATTTTTGCAGTCTGAATATTGTTTGCCTTCCATTCTGTATGCATTTTATTGTAAATTACTGTTTAATTTCTGAATTTTGAGTCTGTGGTTTTGTACAGCATCATTTTTATGTCATTTGAATCGCTATGTGATCCTTTGGGTCGTCTTGGGTAAAGGTGTCTACAAAATGATTTATCGCCATCTGGGACACCTGTCTGCAAGTGACGCTTATATAGAGCTGCCTAGCCATTCATAGCAAAAAGAAATATTAAATATTAGCCAAATTAAAATGTCTTTCAATTCTTTATTTGAAATCTAGATTTTATTCCATATGTGGCAAAAATATAACTGGGATTTAAGCACTTCTATTTAAATTGAGAGGTTTTTCAGAATTTCCTTGTTATTTACAGTAAGTATTCTCCAGGACTTTATGCATGTAATATTTCGGGGAGTCTCGGGAAGCCACTTCACACAGCTGATGTGATGTTTTCTTTTTTTTTGCCTCGTGACATTTTGCCGCAGGTGGCGTTTGAATCCCAGCTGAGTGCGCGGCACAAACTGCGGCTCATGTACCTGTAGGAGCCTTCAGCTGGCTGCCATGCCACTAACTGCTAACGAGCTCCAACGCGTCTCATGATAACTCTTTTGTGTTAACGCATCTGTTACCGATAGTGTCAATATATACAGTAACACACGTGTGGATTTCTTACAATGAACAGTACTAATTAAAATACACAGCATAAAGGTCAAAGAAGCTGAAAATGAAGATGTGGTGGACTTCGACATCGACAGGAGAAGGATTGCTCAATGGCAAGACGTTGGGGGTTGATGTTCTGTGCCAGGATGAGAAGAAAAACATTTGGGGTTAACTTAAAAAAAAAATGGCTATAGCTCTGACTGGCTACTGAACATCTCTAAGAAAACACGGACACTAGAGAACACATCTTTCAGAATACACTGCTGGAACAGGATGTTGAATGCTGCCTCTTCATTTTTGGTCCCTTTCCGTACCCATTTTCACCTGCTCCGTCTTTTGATCTCCTGTGCTTTTATATCTCTTTCTCTCTCTCCCTCTTAACTGCAGATGGCTCAACAGCTGTTTCTTCTTCCTGCTTCTCAGTGGGGAATTAACTTTTACTCGTTCCTTAACATTCAAATGGTGTTCATCTTCCTTAACATTCTGAATGCACTTACCTATAGCTGACTGGATTAAAACCTGGTAGACAATAGACATAGACTAAGGACGTGTTCCTTTTTGATCCAAACAAGTTCCTACTTAACAGGTTGCCTCATGCCCATTAAATTTCTTCTTTACATGTAATGCAGTAAAATGATATTCGATTGTTTTACGCTTGTTAAATAACACAGATAAGTAGTAGGTTATTGGAATTATAGTTCACAAATAAATACAGCTGACTGGTCACATGATTTTATCAGCCTTAAATACTGCCCCCAACTTCTGATCAAATGAAAAATTAACTTTCAACTCCATAATGAGTGCAGATAGGTTCATGGTTACTGCAGAACACAAAGGGACATTATGGTCTTCCCTTTGACCTACTTTAGATCTTCTTTTTCAACTTCAGAGTCAAAATCTTTTTAACTGCTTACGAAGTGCACATGTCATGGTTGTTTTGGAAGTCACATAGGAAGCCATATGTGTCTAAAAACATCCTTGCCCATGAAAAGGATATACAGTATCAGCTTGGCGACCAGTGATCACCGTTTGCAGTTATATTTGTTTTTTCCGAGGGTGGGTGGGTTGACCTGCCATCCCTCGTTTTTAATACCATCAGACTAGGTTTCGAACGGGGTAGATTTCTCCTGACCTGGTTGCTCAATGACAAAGGGAATCGACTAACTGGCTATTTACCGCAAAATAATCTGAAATTGAAGGTAATTACCTTACGCTGGTAGTTGTCTCCATTCTGAGAGCTGTCCTCAGAGTGGGAAAGGTGAAATTTTATGTACAAATGTACTTGTAGTTCTATTTTTAACCTTATTTTTGCATTAGCGTTATTGTATTTGAAACTTAGAGGTGTCAACCTTCCTATTTATCAGAGAGAGCAGTTGACGCCATTTGAATTCTTGTATTTTTCCTTTGTGGAGGACTGGAAAGTGAAAGGCTACTTTGGCCGCGAAGCCGTGAAGCGCACATGGCCGCACTCTGGGCTGCGGATGTGAAGACGCACCAGGGAATTCCTCTTCAGTGTCAACACCACAGTCCGCCAAAGTGTCTTGTATCCTGCTATGATATCCTGTTCCAATACTGTATTCGGAAAGCCGTGCTCTCCAGTTTCCGTGTTTGCTTATCATATCTGAGAGGGACTGCTCGGGCGACCTTGTTCGGCTCCCCACCATTAGTCATTCTAACAAAAACAAAAACCACTCAATAGCTGTTAGGCTTATAGCTAGTAAACCACAACCTGCCGTCCTCTACTGACATGTCAGCAATAACTTAACCAGGGTGGCATTTTGATTTTCTTATACTCTTGGGCTCACACTAACCAGAAGGTCTTGGAATGTGAAATATGACCTATCCTTTTAAGTGTATCAAAGCCAAAACAAAGTGTAGAAAAAAACGGTGTCTACTTCACGAGTCAGCATGAGAATATTTTATATTAAGGACCATATAGTGTCGTTCCAACCTGTGCGTGTTCATCATCAGATGATATCAAATGATTACCTGTTAAGAGCTGTTTAGTCAGAAAAAAGGGAGCAGTCTTAATTACTAAGTTGAGAAAAGCCTGCATAAAGGGTACATGTCTGCATGCTGAAGTTGTCCATTAATGTAACTTAATGTATTTTTAAACCAAGCCCTGAGTGCATAGAAAAGCAGAACGCAAGCAGATCAGTTACTGGTGGCAGTTACAACTGGTGATTAAAGGCCCAGCTGGAACAAAAACCAGCAGAGAGAGGGGTAATCTAGGACTAGGATTGAGAACCACTGGTTTCTGTGGTTAGAATGCTTATTATTTTTTTTATTTGTTCTTTAAAGTTTTTTTAATACGTGTTTTGTTAGTGGACTGATCATTTCAGCCTGCTTTAGCACACAGTCTTCACAACCCCAGTCTTCAGAAGCAGCTGGGTCTTGTGAACATTCATCCAGTGCAGTTCTGAAATTCTCAGTGATTTAGTTGATAAAGAATGTTGTTTTTCTATACTTACTGTGAACAGATCTAGTTTTCAAATTACATTGAGACTTAACATTTGAGGATGTTAGTTCAATCAAGGGCCTGCAATTGATTACAAATAACTATTCTCATAATCACTATAAATGCAATGTCATAGAATATATATTAACTTTATTCAGGTATTTATTGGTCAAACTTAATCCGGTGTCTGTAGACTGTACTACATGGAAAATCATTTTTTTTTTGTATGGGGAAAAAGAACTCAGGATGGACAGTTGTGATGAACAAAGCAAGTCCATGAATTAAAAAATGCTGATTATGTGTACTGTAGGTGTTCTGCTATGATTGTGTAATTTTCAGGTCAGAAAAAACAGGATTCATTTAAATTAAATCCCACCTTGTGAAATCCCATACAGTCCTAAAGCTGCATGTTATCTGCATGTGGACATGTCATTTTGTTTTTTCCTAAATAATCTCAAATAGCCTTAAACAATTTCTAGGATCATGCCACTATCAGTGGATTAAGCTAAGCCAACTACTGTAGTTCTAACAGAAGGCACTTTGAAATTGTCTTCTTTTTGTGACCTTAATGTAATAAGGTGGAGAATAAGTGGGTCTCTCATCAAAGAGTTATTGAGTAAAATTGATTGTACTTTCATGGAAATTGCACATAAATTTTACATGAAGTTCACACTGTATTTCTTCTAGGATTGTATTGCTAGGGCTGTCGAGACTGGCTTCTGTGTGACTTTCTTCTCACATTTACAGAAGTGCAATATACAACAGCTCTATTCATTATTGAAAACCTTTTTGCAAAATTAAAACACAAATTAATATGACACGAATGTCCTCTCTGAAATATTCCCCCATTTTAAGTGCTCATGGGTTAATCCCCACCTTCTAAGGTCACAGAAAAGTCGTATTCTTTCCATAAGTTTAGCTGATTGTCATGTGAGTAAATAGTGGAAAGTCTGTTTTGTTTCTGTTTAGAAAGTTCAGTTTAGAGCTGGAGGGACTGAGGCTAGGTTATGAAGATGCAGCTGTAGAAGGAAGGTATCTTAATTGAACCTCCAGGGTAGGTCTCTGTATTTTTTGTTTCAAGGTCTCATCCTAAGGCTGAATGTGATTGCACTCTCCTCCTTCGAAAGAGCTGGTTAATGTAGATGGGGCAGTAAATCCATGCTAGAAAGCAGCCTTATCCATGCCCTTTGTGTGCTCAGACGGAGTGGCACTGCACTAACTCAACTGTATGGTGCTGGAGAATGCAGTGTTCTGACCCCAGTTGCACACTTGATGAAGAGGAGATTTGGGGTTCCGGAATGCTGCTTATAAAGCTACTTTTTTTTCCTAGGAGGAATATAAATCTAGGACCCCTGGACCACAGCATAAATGTAATAATGTGCCTAAAGAGATGTGTTATTTATGCAGCTCGAGCTAAATGCTTGTCATGCTAATGAATCAGGTGGTTATTTTGGAAGAGCTCTAGTCTGGGAGGCCAAGTGTTGAAAATAAGTCACAGAAATCCGCTCACTCAAAGAGACATGCTGGAGAAAGAAAATAAATAGCCGGTCAAAAAGCCATAGGGTTTAATTTCTTTGCTGTTGTTTGTTTGCACAAACAGAGTATGGAACAAGCATGTTCTCTCAAGTAATAACTGGAAAAAATAGCATTTTCTCTGAGCCTAAATCTTCCCACTGTTATCCTTTTTG